GCTCCAAATCACTGCAGATGGTGACCGCAGCCATGAAATTAAAGGACACTTGCTCCTTGGAAGGAAAGTTATGACCAACCTAGACAGCATATTAAAAAGCAGAGACATTGCTTTGCCAGCGAAGGATCCATCTAGTCAAAGCTATGGTTTTTCCAGTAGTCATGTATGGGTGTGAGAGTAGGACTATAAAGAAAGCTGAGCGCCGAAGAATTGCTGCTTTTGAACTGTGGTGTTGGAGAAGACTCTTGAGAGTCCCTTGGACTGCAAGGAGATCCAACCAGTCAATTCTAAAGGAAATCAGTCCTGAATATTCATTGGAAGGATTGATGCTGAAACTGAAACTCCAGTACTTTGGCCACTTGATACAAAGAATTGACTCACTGGAAAAGACCCTGATGCTGGAAAAGATTGAAGACAGAAGGAGAAGGGGGCCCAGAGAGGATGAGATGGTTGGATGGCATCACTGACTGGATGGACATGAGTTTGAGTGAGCTCCAGGAGTTGGGTGGTAGACAGGGAAGCCTGGCATGCGGCAGTCCATGGGGTCACAAAGAGTCAGACATGACTGAGCGACTAAACTGAACTGATTAAACTGTTTTATCTTCATCCTTTTATTTGCTTATCTGTTTTACACAGTAATATATTGGTAAACATTGTTGTTCAGTTGCTCAGTCATGTCCGACTCTTTGCGACCCCATGGACTGCAGCATACCAGCTTCCCTGTCCATCACCATCTCCCGGAGTTTGCTCAAACTCATGTCCATCAAGTTGGTGATGCCATCCAACCATCTCATCCTCTCTCAGCCCCCTTCTCCTCTTGCCTTCAATCTTTCCAGCATCAGGGTCTGTATGTAATTTATAATCAGTATATTCACTCACACTCCCCTTCAGGAGGCAGTGACCATAGTTTTTTATTGGCTGGGATATAGGATCCAAGAGCTATTTGACCACTGCTAGAAGAGCCAGCCTTGCTCCATCCTGCTTTCCTGAAATGAGGGATGGTGTGGGGAGTGGCAGGATTCTCTAGCAAAGGGTGACAAGTGCTGGGAATCCTTCATTCAGATGTTTGTTTTGAGATGGCAGATGAAGCCAAGATTGAAACCAAACCAGGTTGGAGTGGGCTTTTCTCCTTGGAAAGACATGAGCACATGAGTAAAGTAAAGCAGGGTTGACCCAGATACTTCTCAGCTAAAGCTGTAATTTTCATTTAGGGTTAGCGTTTCCTAGGGCTCAAAGATGTGTGAAAAGAGCTTAAGAGCAGTAGCTTTGGGGCCCTCAGATGTTTTCTGCAGACACTGTGGGCCCTACTGGCAGGTTTTCTAGATGTGACCAGCAAGCGGATGCCAGCATCTGAGTATGAGCCGCTTTTTTGGAACAGCAGCTCCTCGACCTGCAGGAGGCCCTCTCATTGCAGCTCTCGTCTCATGCTGGGGACATTCCTCTTGTTTGAAGACAGGGTAGCACTTTCAGTGGGCTTCTGGCGGGTCAGTGGTAAAGAACCACTGTTTCTGCCGATGCAGGAAACACAGGAGACCTGGGTTTGATCCCTCAGTTGGGAAGATCCCCTGGAGGAGGAAATGGCAACCCACTCCAGTATTCTTGCCTGAACAGCCCATGGACAGAGGAGCCTGGCGGGCTACAGTCCATGAGGTTGCAAAGAGTTGGACACGACTGAGCAACTTAAACAACAACAGGAGCACTTGGAGTACAGGAATGCAAAGAACAGTAGATTCCCCACCCCCTGCCTCCTCTGTTTAAAAAAAAAAGCGAGTGCCTTCAAGAAGGCATGAGGGAACAGTGGATGAAACTTTTCATGTGAACTTTTGCCTATTTATTTACTAAATACTTCTTTAATGCCTATGATATGCCATTGTTCTAAATCCTTTTAAAAGCAGGAACTCAGTTGGCCCTCACAACAACTTGAAGAGGTAGTAGTATTATCAGTCCGCTTTGCAGATGAGGAATCTAAAGCTCAGAGAGGTTACATCACTTGCCTGGGGTCACACAGCGCATCTGTGACAGCACCAGGGATCACACGGGCTCCCAGCCTGGCCCCTGTAGATGTGTCTGCATGAACAGTCCTCAGTGAGCACCATGCCTCTTTTGTGACATGGAATCCTTCTTGTGGTTTTTCTACTGGAGATTCCCAAACCTCCGAATTTTCTTATTTTTTGTTTGGTTTCACAACAGGCTTTTCTAAAAAATAGTATCATTTTACATGTAATCTCATAGGGTAGTATTATTACAAAAGCGATGCTATACTGTCTCGGTTTTTTTTCTTTTTAGCTGCACGAGCGCTTCCTCCAGTGACTAAGCAGGGGCTTCTCTTTGTTGCGGCGCATGGGCGTCTCGCTGCAGTGGCTTCTCTCGCTGTGGGCACAGGCTCGCTGGCTCAGCAGTTGTGGCACACCGGCTCAGGTGCCCTGCGGCCCGTGGAACCCTCCCGGGCCAGGGCTGGAACCCATGTCCCCTGCACTGGCAGGCAGACTCCCATCCACTCTGCCACCAGGGAGGTCCTGTCTTGTTTTTTGAGCACTCACTATGGCTTCCTGTGCCAGGTGCTTTATCAACATTAATTCTAACCCTTGAATTAAACTGAAGGGAAGAGTCTTTCCCCCATTTCACAGAAGAGAAAGAAGAGGCCAGGTAGTCACTCTGCTGACTGTCCAGCCAAGGCATGAACCCAGGGCCGTGCACTGCTCAGCTTGTGTTACAGGACAGAACTCGGTAGAAACAGATCCTTCTCGATCCCCATCCCAGGCAGGCACTTTCACAAAGCACCCAGAGGACCCTGTGGTGTGTGAGCACGCCTGTACTCGCGAAGGCGTCCTGATGTGGATGGTGACTCCTGTGGTCCGCCTTCCTGCAACACGACTCGATGCCGAGTGGTTTCCAGGCAGCTGTGTCCACAGGATCAATCCCTCGGGCCTGGCCCCTTTTGATCCCAAGGAGTTTTGAAGTTTTATCTTCTGCTGGGCTTCATTAAGCCCTCAGTTGGTCTGAGGCTTTCTTTCCCACCCCCCGCGCCCCCAGTTGTAAATGTTGTGCAATTTTCAGTATTCAGGTTAACAAGTTAGCCCAATTAGATGGGTAAATTAGTCATTCTCACTTTCTCAAGTCCTACTGGAGGAGCTTTGCAAAACAGCATTTATAGTTTTCTAACAAGCCATTTAAAGGATACCGGCATGTGGCATTTGTTTAAGAGTAAAATGTCCTAAACGGTGCCCTACTGAAAAACAGATTTTGAGATTTGCCCACAAACTGACTCAGGGATTTGGCAGAGTGGCACCCCTGTGTTGTCTGATCCCTGGGGTCTCCAGCCAAACACAGCGGGGCTTACTGAAACCCACATTGAATGCCAACGCCTCATTTTTGGCTGGTTGTTTTTCCTGCACCACCCAAGTTTCTAAACAGGCTGCTTTGAATTCTGAGTGGTAGATAGTAGAGGACCAGAAACATGTAGGTTGAGAAACACCCCCCATCCCCCCACCCCCACCCCCAGAGAACTGCTGGCATTGGAGGCCAGGAAAACGTCACCTGGGGAAAACTGACTCCCTTAATCGCTAATTGAGAATGTGTTAGCTCTTGAACCACAAGGTGCTCACTTTCTTTGTGTGTATGAGAGTGACAGTCATCCTCACCTCACAGGGTCACTGGAGGGTTAAATGAGATGATGCATCTAACATGCCTAAAACATATGAGGCCCTCGTTCACCTTGAGGTCCCTTCCTCCCTTCCTGGATCCTTTTAAGTGTTTGCCTCATGCTGGAGTCCTTGTTCCTGGCTTGACTGGCTCTTCAAACAATCTTATTAATGCCTATTAAAATGAAACCCAATAAAAGTGCCAATATTTGGTGTTGAAATAATTGATGTAGCAGAGGGAGCCCACGGTGAGCACCCAGGCAGGCCCCTGCTGCAGTTTAGCTTCACACCTGGGGGATGAATTCCACAACTGTAATTGCTGCCATATAATTCTTATTAATGTTGTGCCATAATTCCTATTTATTCCACGAGGCTTGTAAATGCATTAGAACTTGTCAACATATTATTTTACACTCTTTATGATCTGTAGAATTATGTCCTTCAGGGTTGTATTGTGCAAAAACTCCACATAAATGGCTGTAGACCTCGTTAAAAAAAGGTGGGGGGGTTGCTTGTTGAAGTGGTTCTCCATCCCCTCCATGCTGAGCAGAAGTCGGTGAGGCAGATTTTTAATTCAGTTCTGAGCAGAGCTCTTAACCTCAAAGTACAAGGGGATCCCCGCATGCATCTGAGCTCTCTGCTGCAGTGGCTCAGCCAGCCCTCCCTCCCAGGAATGGGGTGTGTGTACTGAAAGGCAGGTGCTGTTCGCTGGGGACAGGTGTGGTAGGGAATTGCTGGGTCTTCCTCTAGCTGGACCTGCATTCTGATCATGACATTGTGCCTTCAGAGCTCTGGGTGTTTCAGCCCCCTGCTCCCTAGCTTGGGGTAACCCCTCTTTAGTGCCACATTTCTTCGTGGTCTTCCCAGCTCAGCTTATAAAGAAAAAGATCTGAAATGAATTGCCACTGAAGTGTAAATACCTATTAAGTGTAAAATGTTACCCCCTCGCACAGATTTTTCTATTTACTATGGTGATAAAAGCATGAAACTAAGGGGACAGTATTCTGTTCATTGAAGTGTCACGTGTATCCTGTGTGTGCGCATGAGTGTGTGTTGGGGCAGGGGTCTATCTGTCGTGGTCAGTTATATTTGGTTTCAGCATCTTGGCAATCACCTTTGCTGAAAAATTGCTTTCAAGTTCTTGCACAGTTAACTCCTTACCATGAACCCTAGTCTTTCTGATGGGAAAGCAGATACCCTCTCCCTCAGGGCTACCCTCGGGACTAGATCCCCTTGCAGTCCCTTGATGCCCTAGATGTCCTCTTCCAGGACAGTCGGAGCTGCCTATGCCCTCACATCCACGCTCTGGTCCTGCGGGGATGCTCTGACGCTCCTTGCACTTCTGCTCTGGCCCCACAGGCAGCGAGTACGACGAGGAGGAGGTGGATTATGAGGAGTCAGACAGTGACGAGTCCTGGACCACCGAGAGCGCCATCAGCTCTGAAGCCATCCTCAGCTCCATGTGCATGAACGGAGGGGAGGAGAAGCCTTTTGCCTGCCCGGTTCCTGGATGTAAAAAGAGATACAAGGTAAAAGAGATACCCTCTTGCTTGGCATAACCGGATGGAAAATGGCAAGTCCTGTGTCAATCGCGTCTGGGGAGAGGTGCGTCCCTCTGTGGAGCTGATTGGGTGTGTGGCCGCCCTCAGGTCAGGGCCAGCTCTGGCCTCTGGGTGGGTCTTCCCCTCTGCTGATCTGTGTGGGAACTATAGGTCAGACTTTGTTGTTGTTGTAGGAGGCTCATGTCTTTGGTATTCTTCAAATTCATGTCAAATCAGGCAGAATATCAAATGTATCACCTATTTGTTTGCCAAACACCTTTCCCAGTGGCTGGCTCTGCAGGTGGTTCACAGAAGACCACTTTGAAGTCTTAAAAGCCTACAGACAGTTCACAGAGCTCTTTCAGAAAATGTTGTAGGGTATTTTCTTCCAGCTGAGGAAGCCCTTGCCCCCTTCCCCGCAGTGACATGAAAAGAGATGAGGACAAAGGGGGCCTTTGGTATTTTTCACACCTTACCCTGCTCTAGCTTCAGCAAAGTCTCTGTAGACAGCACAAAACCTGTGTCTCTGCAGGCCTGACTCTGGGTGTCAGGGGAGCCAGGGGCACTAAATTCCCTATTGAGAAAAACTCCAAGGGACAAAACACTGAGAAACACCACACATTCAAGTGTCCAGAGGACATTTCAAGAAAACAAATCTGCAAACTTTCCCTTGAAGCATTAGCAGCTCTTTAAATCCAACTGTGAAAAAAGTAAAAATCAAAAACAGATTTGGTGCCTGTGATGAGATGCTAATTTCCCCAAAGCTCAGCAGATTGACTCTTTCTAAAGAAAGCCTTGAAAAATATGATAGCATAAGCACTTCCTGTATTATTCCCTCTTCAATATGTCTCTGAACACACACACACGATTATTTCAGTACTTTTATACCTGCTCCTGATATTAAAGCATAAAACACAAATGTATTACAGGTAAGTGGCTCAGGGTTTCACCAGCTCTGAACACGGTTAAGTGTTTATCATGGCAAGTCCAGATGAAAGCCCAGGATGGGGATGTGAGGTCCCCTGACTGTGTCCTGATGCAGTGCGTGCCATGTCGCCAGTGGACACGTACATTCCTGTGGGTCAGAAGCAACCCGGGAAGGGGGGGGGGAGAAGGAAAAAAAGAAAATGTTACCTCGGGAAGCCAGGAGCCCAAGGGATAGTTCAAGAAGCTAGTTTGTCCAGAGGACAGCTCTGCTTGCAGAAAGAGATTTCCTCTTCTTTCTCTATGTGAAAATGGAGAAAGCTGGACAAGGACACTGCTCTTGTATCCCACCTGCCCTTGGTGCGCCTGCCCTCTGTGCTTCTCGGGAGCTGGTGCACCATGCTCCGTTGTCTTAGTGCCTTCTCTCAGGGGTCCAAACACTGTTTTAGGGGTGTCTTACACATCAGCCAAGTTAAAAGAGGGAGCAAAGTAATAACCCAGACTGCGACTAACTGAAGAAAAAAAGAGGTAGGGGAATATAATCTACACCCTTTATTTTGTCCAGAGGATGAAGCCTTCTCTCTTTTCCACCTCTGGCTTCATTCCTTTTTTACATCCCTTTCCCCTGGTCATTTCTATTTTCTTGTCATTACTCTTTTGTTTCTATTTTTCTTGAATTCCCAGTAGTTTCTGCCTTCCTGCAGTTTGTTTCCATCTAAGTTGATGAGGGCTTTGGGGGAGTGTTCTTTCTCCATCTAAGGCCCAAAGAAAATTGCATGAAGAAATAAAAAAAAATAAATTAAAAAAAAAATTGCATGAAACTTGGGCTATGAAGGCTGCCTTTTCAGTACCACAGACTGGCAAGTGACATGGGTGGCAATTAGTAGTCGTGATTTCCATGAGGGAAGTGTGAGTTTCCTTTCCTGGGCCAGAATACCAGGTAATGGTGCATGGGGCAGGAACAAATGCATAACTGCTTCTCCTAACCAGGTGCGTGAGGTAACTCTAGTCTCTGGGAAGTTACTGGCTGCAGGGCAGTGGTGTTCTCCAGTATAATTATTTCACCTTATTTACTGCATGGTTGTTGGGTTGGGTTTTGGTGAGAGGAGGGCATAACGAGCTGGCGCGCTGTGGTGTCAGGCGGAACCCACAAGGGCTGCCATCTTGTTCATCCCCACGGCTACCTTCAGACATGTCTCATTCCTTGCCCTGCCTATTGGCAGGGGGTTTCTCATCCACGAGGCTCTTGGGCAGACTCAGGGTCAGGTCTTCTCACCATTTCATTGGCATTTGCAGAACTGAGAGGAGATGAGCATCCAACTCCCCAGACTTCATATAGAGTAGGGCAGAGGAGCAGCAGTACAGTGGTCTCCCATGTTAATTCTTTTGCCTCTAAATGCCCCCTTTCCCTCCTCTCCTCATCAGCATTCATTTCATTCCCATTTCTCAAAGCACAGCTCAAATGTGTGTGGGAGCCCTTAGCAGCTTCCCAGACTGGAGTTCCCCCCATCCTGAAGTTCTGTCATCTGACCTTTCTACCTAATCTGTTCACACGACTGGCAGAGCGCTTATGATCTTATTAGCCCAAGTGCTTACAGCTCAAAGACTCTGCATGCAGTTCATGTCCCAAACATAGTAAACACCCTAAGGTTAAAGGGATAAAGACAAAATGCATGGGGAAGGGTGGGGGGCAATGTGGGCTCCCCACTGACCAACAGAACCCCAGAGCCGCAACACGATTCATTCTTTTGTGCTCCTCGCAGACATTCCAGGCCAGGAGCACAACTGATTCCATCCACCTTGGTTCTGCACAGTTTCTCTGAGAGTCCTCGGCTACACAGAGAATACAGCATTTCAGCAGCATAAAGCAAGCTTGGTCTCTGGCATCTATGTAGATACACAGTCAAGCACACATGTAGCTCCAGATTTTCTCAAGAAGGACACTTCAGCCTTTCTCCCCGTCAGTGGATCTAAATCTCCTTGCCTCTCCTGAGAGTCCCCCGGAAGCCCTGGGGGGGAGCACAACTGACCTTTCTGGATAAAACCTGGCAGAAAATAGAGCTTTTAAAAATGTTCAAATTCTTCAGTTCTGTAATTTTCCTAGAAATTTATGCTATTTTCAAAAAATATTGATGAGGGAATTAATCTTATACATACACACACATATATACACAGCAAAAAATATTGAAACACCTCAGATGTTAAACTGTGATTCTGTTATACATTCTTATGCTCCTCTCTACTTTCTCAGTGTCTACAATTACCTACACTGAACACAGATTACAGTAATAACCGTAATCTTTTTCTCATGGGAGAAAAAGACCTGGTTCCCACCTGACTTGCCCTGGACATCCCATGTGCTGCTATGTCAAGTATGACAGAGGAAGGACTTGCAGTGCTATCTCTGGGGCAGGTGGAGTGTCACCATGCTGCTCCACGTGCCTTCACTGTTTTAACTCTAACTTAAATGGCAACCCACTCCAGTGTTCCTGCCTGGAAAAATCCAACGGACAGTGGAGTCTGGCAGGCTACAGGCCATGGGGTCGCAAAGGGTTGGACACAACAGATCGACTAACACTTTTCACCATCACCAAGCCCAGCTTTGGTTTTTCCATTTTTATTCCACATCAGATCCCCAAATGACTTCATCCTCTCCTTCGTGTAGGACATCAAGGTTCATGGGAAACTGAAAGTTAGGGTTTTATATCAAGGGTACACATTACATGTTGTACTTACACATGCCTGAATACTGAAGATCAAATAGTTACGGTATGGTGGCCCAGCGTGTGGTGTCCTAACTTTAGCTCTCATGACTTGATTTGGAGGAGAATTTTGTTGTTCGGATTGGCTCAGTTCCCTCAGCAGGCAGGGAATCCCTGGCATAGAAAAGAACCAGTGCCACCTCAGGTCCTTCCCTGTACCTTACGCCCTGCCCCTTCCTGAGTCAGATCACTAAGTCATAGACAGGTTTCTCCAGACTAAGTGTCCTAGTCCTTCCCAACTTTTAAGAATTTTTCAGGGACTACCAGCTGGCTGTGCTAATTAACAGCACGTTAGGTGCATGGACTCTGGGGGAGATAGGGGCTCTGGAGCCAACCATCCCCAGGTTCCCATTTCGGTTCTATCACTTACCAGCTTTGTGATCTGGTCAAGTCAGCTTCTCTGGGTGTCAGTTTTTAGTTAAAACCTGAGTGCTGAATAAGACAGTAGATATCAAGTTCTTGGCATGAGGAAAAGTTCTGTTAGTGATGTTCCTTGCCCTGTCGGAGCTTAATCCTCTTTCTCCCTTTCAGAGATCAGAGAATTTAATAAACATTTCAAGTTGCCTGACATTTATTTTTGTCATTGTTAATATTTTTGAAAGACCAAACTCATTTCAGTATCTCTGCAGTTAGAAGCTTCAGCGAAGCTTTTGTCTTGGAAAGTGAAGTTCCCATAGTTATCTGTGAATGAACAGATAGGGAAATGTTACATATGATTAGAGATATAACTAACATTTGTGATAACGGTGTCCCTTGACACTTGTGAACATTTTAAGTTACAGCAACAAAGACAGATAGTCTTTGGTAAGGTAGTTTATTTTAGGCTCTTTGGTCAACCCAGAGCGGCCATGTTTCCACACATGTAGCTGGCTTCCTGATTTTTACAGTGATAAAGCTGACGTATGTGTCAGCCCCACAGCCACATACAACACAGCATTTACATTCAAGCTGGGTACAGACCACAGACCCTATTGGAGTCACCTCAACCCTGGACATGACCTTCTCCTGCTGAACTCCAGATCTGGATTCACGCTGGACAGGTTTCTCATGGCTTTAGCAAATTCTAGTTTCACACCTTGCCTCATTTAAAAAAACAAAAAACCTCACCGTGAATGAAGTATCTAAAGTTCTGGTCCTGTTGGAGTTGCTAAACACACAGGGGTACCTGGATTTATAATGATCCTTCTTTCAAGTTCCCTGTGAAATGTTTTAGTAACTCCTCATCCACAGGAAGCAACAACCCTGAGGTACTCCATTGTCTATTGGGCTGATAAAAAACAATGCTTATGTTTGTGTGCTGGCCCTAGCTAGGTAGCTCTCACCTGGGTGTCTCATGCCACTGCAGTGGGGTACTAGCTGGGGGCTAGATACACAGGTTGGCTTCTTTACCCACGTGTCTGGGCTCCTGGAGGGATGGCTGGAGCGGCAAGGGGTTGGTCTCTTAATGAGTCGAATTCTGCACAGTGACTGCTCTTTCCACACCCTACCACGGCAATCTCCTAGTTGCTAGCATGCCTCTAGAAGACCAGTGAAGGGCTTCCTCACACTGCATGGAGGGATTAATACAAGAACCATGAGGGCTGAAGGGGCAGAAGGCTGAACAGCTAGGCCTTCAGGGAAGAAGTTTTATCTGTCCTTGAACTTCAACTCACCAGACAGCCTACACGACTCTCAAGCGTAGACAACCAGTTGTTATTTGTCACCCCTGGGTTCCACGGTGTCAAGAGGATTCTCTTCCATAGGACTTAAAAAGAATTAATGTGCATGGTGCATCTCCAATAGGGAAATATAGTGATAACCACTGAACATATTTTGTTTCATGGCAAACTTCTCAATTTCTTCCAGAATGAAGCATGTTCTAACAAATTCACTCAGATACTTGTGGAGCATCTACTATGCACCAGGCACTGTACTTGATGCTCATTAAACAGCAGCAGTTTGTTCCTATTCTTTGGGAGCTTGACAAGGGCATCCTATGAAGTAGAATAGATGGTTATGTTGGAATCCTTTAGTTGGGCATAGGACTGGGCTCAACTGGCCTACACTCAGGTAATACTTTCAAAAATAGCCCACTATTCCAGTGATCTGTGCTCAACAACTTCCTCTCTCAAGCCTTTTCTTCTTTCCCCCTACTGCTCAACCTGACAGTAGCTGACCTGGAAGTTAGGATCTACGTTCTAGTGCCACCTCTGCCATTTGTTCTTCCATAAATCTTCCATGTTTACTAAATGCTGAGTTTGTTTACTCGCCATTTAACTGGGATAAAGGAAAAGTAACTTGGTTAAATCTATAGTGATTCTAGGCATGAAGTCTTAAATAGAATGTGCATGTGAGCTAGCAAAACCAACGAACAGAAATCCAGATAGCATGCAGTTACTTCATGTATCATTTAGGATTTGTATGCCAATTTGAAGTTTGAAAGTCTTCTGTTGCTAAGAAGTTCATAAACTGACATTTTCAAAGTTGAGTGTATGTTTGGAATGTAGTATGTAAATAAAAGCAGTGTCCTGTCTGCCCACAGGTGCTTAATAACACACAACTGTGCTGGGGCAGGATTTAAATGGGCAGAGATACAGGCTTAATGCAGAGTAGAAAAAGAACAAAAATTCTCTAAGTAAGGTAAGAATTATCATGATTGGCTGGGAGCAAGACATGCTGAGTTTCCAGTCAAGAATTTATACGTCTTGAACTTTCATTACCCTAACCTTTGTTTCATTTCTTTAGATTTTTTGTTTTGGCTATCTTGGATATATTTATATAATTGTTCACTGGCAACATTCTTCAGAGGGAACTATGCCTCTACAGTCCGTGAGTCTTAAATATGTATTTTATGTAAAACTCAAACTTAGTACTTTCAGAGTAACTTGAGGTCTACCTGAAATGGCCTTGGGGTAGCTGTGTGCATAACCCTGTCTGCACAGCCCACGGTGAACACACTGGACTGCTCTGGTCACAACTGGAGTTCACAAAAGCCTATTCTGTATACAGTTGCCATCTGAGAGATGTCCAGTTGCAGTCAGACCCACACTAAGGTTTTCCTCCATCAGACAATTGGGTGACCCCATTTAACATGATATTTTTGTCTTCTCCACAGAATGTGAATGGCATAAAGTACCATGCTAAGAATGGTCACAGAACACAGATCCGTGTCCGTAAACCATTCAAATGTCGTTGTGGTAAGAGTTACAAGACAGCTCAGGGCCTGCGGCATCACACAATCAATTTCCATCCCCCGGTGTCGGCTGAGATTATCAGGAAGATGCAGCAATAACATGCTGGTCGTAACTGTGCCAAGAAATCCTCACCAGCAGTTGCTGATTTTGAAAACAGCCACCTTTTTTCAGGGGAAGCATTCAGCAGCCCTTTAAAGAATTAAATGCATGCTTTAAATTTTTTCTGTAATTTTGGAATGATGTATCTTTGTAGAGTTAATGATTTTGTACATTTGCACATGTAATCATCATACCCATTTTCATTACTTTGATATAAGGTGCTAAACAAAAGCTCTAGGTTCTTCAGCACATTTTTCCCCAAAACAAGATTAAAATTGAGGGCATGTTGCATATTGTTTGGTTGTATTGCAGTGATATCAACTGGGGAGGGGGGAGGAGGGGCTAGCACTGAGGTTTTTGTCCCCCAGGATTATAATGTGATTGCAGTTTTCAGTACATCAACTCATTGTGTTCAAAACCAAAATAATACCTTCATTATCCAACTGGTTACCATGCCTTACATAATGGAGTTAGTACTTGTGAGTAGAAAGACTTTAGGTAACGGAAATATAAATAAGAATGTTTAACATAATATGCTAAAAATATTTTCATATTTAAATAACATACATAAAGGGTGTGCTTTCTGTGTTTTATATTATTGTGCAAATCCTTTTGCCCTTTAAAAGTGAAAATCTTGCCATCTGACTTATCATTTTAGAGTTATAAATAGCATTTTTGTACAAAAGTCTATTCAGTTCACTCATTAGTTTAACATTCATTGAGTGCCTGCTGGGTGCAAGGGATTCAATTTATGCCTATTGATATCTGTGGACCAAGATAATAGTTTAAATACTTTCCCTGAAATCTGTTAGGAAACACTTTGAAATACTTAAGTGCAAATCTTTTGTGTGTAAAATTTAGTTCTATCTTCATCTTTAGGTGAAGTTTTAAAGCACTTTGTAGTTCTCTATTGCCAACAGATTAATGTTTTATGTGTTGCCAATTCTTGCAACCACTGCCCAACCAACCTGTGGGTTGCAAATAAGAAAATTCCAAGCACGTTTCAAAGAGGAACATTTTATTAAGACCCCTATCACCTCTTCATGCTCATTGTGTTTGTAGAATTTTTTTAAAGTCACTTTTTTTCATCACATTGTAGATGTCTGTATTCTCATTGGAAACGTCTGTTTAGCTTTATAAGACATTTTGCTGAAATATGAAATTGAGCCTTATTGACAATGAAGTGCTTATTGCAGCAGGTGGTCAAAGAGTGGCTAATACATGACCCGTTAAGAGTGTAACTATGTCTGGACCATTCCTGGAGTTTTTCTTACCAACAAAACCACCATGCCTTGAGTGTTCATTTCTCCCAAGTGCTATTCCTTAAACATGAGTTTACCAATTGCCTAATTATGCAATAAAAATTGCTTTGAGATGGCTAACTGCCCACAAAACTGGTGAAAATCAAACTCGAAACGCTTGTAAAGTAACTTTCTTCCCGTGTTTCCATTTGTTGAAAGTCTTACAGATGGGAGGAAGCAGGTGTCCCTCCTCAATTTTTCAGATGTTCTGAAAGGAAGACAATTCTGTTAGCCAGATGGGTAAGCTTCTATATCCTTAAGTTGTGAGTCCCTCATAATGAGGGAATTAAAAGTATTTATAAAGACACTGCCCTCTAAAAATTTCCTCAGATCTCTTAAGAGTAGTCTTGGTCCTGAACGTACAGTGTTATCCTTGTGTTAAAGGGTGATCCAGACATGAGAAGCAACTAGTTGGTGCATAAGAAGGCCCTACTTGGCTATTTCATACCTACGTACAATTGACCAAATTTTTTTTAGGCCAACAATTATCATCTAGCTTTGCTCCTTCTAGTGCAAGAAACTTGTAGGCTGGGTCACTAGTTCAACTGCTAAACAGTCATTAGTCATTGTGCATGTTAGATTTCTTTCAACTATAAAACAAATTCCAATTTCTATTTACTTATTCATTGTGACAGTATTACTAAACAGGTAAGGATGGGAATATTTTGTTATACCGTGTATAGTGAATGTATTGTACTGTGTCTGTGAAAACTGTGCTTTAAATTATATTTTCATATGTTTTGTTCGGGACAGAGCACATTAAGTTTGAAAGCAACAGGTTTGTTTTAGAACTGAAGGCAACTAAATAAAAATTGCTGTCAAGAAAAGCTGCTTGTAAATGAAATCACATTTAAAATAAACTGCCTCTGACCCAAATAAACATGGCTCTTTATTTTCATTAGCATCCATTATCAAGGCCAGTATCCAGTTTGCCACAGAAACGAATATCCATTCAGTACCTTGTTCTCAGGCTGCCCATTTTTTTGTATTCAGCTGACACATGTAGATGTCATCGATGTTTTGCATAGATCACACTTTTTTCTATCAGTAATAAACTACTTGTAAGCCTGGAGGTAGAAACTACTTAAAAATAGGTTAGTATGAACAATTTCATTTCACTGATAGTAAGTAGTCTATATTATTCAAAGTATACTTTTAGGTTAGCATGGTCCACAGTTATTAACTGTTCTTATTGTTGAACATATTTTACCTGAATATATTCTGCTTAGCCTATAACCTATCCTGAAGCTTAAAACGTGGATTCCTCACAACAGCATCCCAGATCTGCCATGTCCCAACATCTGGCACCTGACTGCCTAATACTGTTTTGCCCTAGACTCAAACCTTTTAAAGGACTTCAATGATATACAAATTCTGCTCCTAGAAACAGATACAAGTCAGATGGTGTATATGCAGTTTACATATAGCACTTCAAAATGCAACTATACTAAGTATTAGGTTCATATCTTAGATAACTAGTATGCTTAAGTATTTTTAATAACTACAAAAAGAAAAATCAACAAGTCTGTATTTTAAATTCTTAACATTTATATTATTTCAGAAAATTTAAGACCCAAGACCCAGAAGACATTCAAGATGATCACAAATAGATTTATTTTACTGAAATTACATACCTCTAAAATTGTGTCCACTTTAATGTCAATACTATACACATCAAAGACATAAAAAATACATTAGTTTGATTTGGGTTTATGCATTACATGTTTAATCACTTACTGAGAACATTTTTTTAAAGTTATACTCTTATCAGGAAAATGAGAAAAAAAATACATTTTCTGTGATTTTTATGCCACAACCACCACTGTTCAGTAGATCATTTAACATAAAACAATTACACCAATATATCTTGTTCCATTTCCCCATCAGACAGAAATACAACTTTAGGATGGCTTTAAAATAATTATTCAGGTATTCTAAAGTTTCTTCAGTCATAAAATTAGCAAAATATGCTTTCTATTAATTCCTAAAGCAAACATCTCAAATATAAAAGGATAGTTGCTATCATTGCTATCTTGCAAACATGTGATCTCATTCTACATGCAGCTCCCTTTCTAAAGAGCGTTAAAATTTTTTTTCATGGGCTAAATTATGAAGTTTTTGTATTCAAAGAATTACCTTGCAAGACTTATGATAAATTCTTTTTACTACATAATTTTTAATAGTCATGCTTAAGCAACAAGGTCAACAGAATCTTGTAACTATTCTGCTAAATAATACATTTTTTTTCAGTGTGGTAATGCTAAAATAATCCCTATTTCCTTTGTTCATATAATTTTGCAAAATAATATACAAACACATAAGAATTTCCTAAGCAGGTAAGATTAACAGAGGTTAAAATTACATTTATTGATAGTGGTAAGCCAAAGACTGACCCTGATCCTAGTAACACCAAACTCAAAAGTAGCTCTTGGTCAGAAAAGTGCACTAGAGGGTACATGGAAGTGACACCTTGTGGTCTCCTTAGTGCTCTATTTGAGGTGATTTTTTTTCAACTGTTAAACTGTATTATTAACTCCTAATAAAAAAGTAACTAATCAAAATTTAAAACATTCTGATCAAAATGGGTCTGTACATGCCTTTCAAACACCTGCTGGTCATAGTCAGGAGGGAACTGCTCGCTGCACATTGGGCACACCTTCCAGTGACTTTCAACATGTTCTTCGAATTTGCTCTGATCATAGTTAGGAGGGAACATTAATTCACAGAGTGGACATTTCTTCTGAACATCAAAGCTTGAGGAAATAAAATGAACGAATTACATGTCTGGTAAGATTTCTAATAGCAGTAATCTTCAGATATGGCAAGACTGCATTTATCTAGTTAATATCAGTATCAGCTTAACTTACCTTGAAACTCTTCAGTTACTCCAGGAACCTTTTTCTTGGTCCTAAAAGCTTGCTATTGACAATTGTATAAACCACTTATAAAGCCTCTAAATTTATTTTACAACTAGATTGACAAAAACTTTTTCTCATTGAATCGAAAAAATACAATCACATGTGAAATGAGGCTCAGTGACAAGAATTCTTCAACTGTTAACTAACAGAATGCCTTTTGCAAAACTATAAAGATTAACTGAACTTGTAATTTCCCAACAGTGCTCACTCAGTTTAACAACTAAAGTTGTTTACAGCACTGTTTCTCAAAGGACTGCATGTATCAGCACCATCCAGACGGGCACACTAAAATACATACTGTTGGGCCCCACGACAAGAATTTTGGGTTCAGGAGTTCTGAGTTACAGCCCTGGATCATACGCACTTCTACTAAACTTTCAAGTACCATACACTGAGAACCACTGGTAATCCCAATTATACACAGAAAAGAGAGAAGTTACCTGGGATCAAAGCAAAAGCCTGTTCCATGCCCACGTAAATGCTGACTTGGAGGATCAGGAGCACTGGGCACTTTCTCATCTTCCTAGGCAAAGAACAATTTTTGCAACTTTTGAGAAAAGTGAAACCAAACAGAAGTCCCTCAATTTAATCAAGCACTGTATAAAGAAAGTAAGATTATACTTTAAAAAACTTTACTTCTATTCTCAATAGATTTTCCTGTAAACAGAAGTTTGAAAATAATTTGTTTTTACAGAGTATTTCACTGTGGACTAAGTCTTACCTTGAAATAAAAAGCAGTATTCAGTGGAATGGAGAGTGTACTACACCAGGGTGTGTGCGAAGGAAAATCAATATATTTCTGAACTATATGTAGGTAACTTAACCGCATTTTTATCATCCATACACTGGCCACTTTCATTAAAATCTTAAGACTATATTACTTTTTCTATTATTCTCATTAAATACCTACTAGTGTGGAAGACAGGCAGGATCTTCTTTGACAATATACATCCACTGCACAATACATAGAAATTAAAGGAAAACTAGCAATATATGTGAGGTTTACATGTGTGTTTTGTCGGCAAATACATGAGAAAATTCAACTGGAAAACCGTGTTAAAAGCAAAGCAATGCACCAAACTACAGGTCTCAAAAACCCTGTTGTAAAATAATCAGATTAATTTTTTTTTTTTAAATATTTAACTACCTGATGAACAGATTATCAAGGTAGCCTGCTGAAAACCCTGTAAATGTGAGTTGGGATCAAAAACAAAATGCTGGTCTGGATTTCCATGCCTGCATCCCAGTGGTCATTTTACAGACTTGCACACTGCTACTACATCAACAAGGGGAAGGATGGCACAACATGGCTGTTACTCTGACAATTATCCCCTCCTGAAAGACAGGGGTCGGGGGGGTGGGGTAACACAAGGCTCCCCACTCTCCCTCGCCCATGTGCATCACCTGAGAAAACAGTTCTGTTAGCAAATGATTCCCTTAGGCTATACTTGAGCAAAAGAAAAACAGGGTCAGTAATCTAATAAGAGATTGAGAAGCTGAGGAATACTGGACAAGTATTTCGTATACTTCGAAAATTAAAGTCTTTAACTAAAATCCAGTTTTAAAATCTAAACATACAGAGGGAAGATGATACATAGTTGAATCTGCTAAGCTTAATATGTATGACAGGTAAATTGTGATTCTGTGCCACATTACTCTGCCTGCCAGATTTAGGCCTTCTAGTAACAATACCTGAAACATGAATCGGCTTAAACAACTACATATAAAATAGTGAACAGAATTTTCTCATGTATGTAAAATACATGCTATTTAAGAAAATGAAAACATAATGAAAGGTCTCTTCATATTCTACATTTAGAAATTCTTGAAAGAGATATTTATAATACAATACAACCTTCTGGTGCCAAATATATAATGGAGCCAAAAACCTCGTAACTACCTTTGTGGTTTTTTTTTAATAACAGCTAACAGCTTATACCAATGTACTGCCTCCATGAATCAGCTAACAATAGAGTCTGATGCAAAGGTGCTAGATTCAGACCAACCTATCAGACCTATTAACCCAACTGATAAAATGTGGACAAGGGGATTTTTTAAAAAAGCAATTTATATTTTCTAAGCCATATATAATTTGGTAAGGATAACTCTGTTACTCTATTTCCTACCAGAATAAAAAGGAGACTCAAGTAGAATTCTAGATAGAATAATGAGACGGTCATGAAATAAGAAACCACCTACTCAGAGAATAGGTTAAGTATGTAATAAAATCTGAGGAGTTAATTAATATAATATAGTCCCTGGTGGTCTTGTCATGCAAAAGGACCAAGTTTTCACTCACAAATACAGTTACTCCATTTTACTCATTGAGCTTGGCTATTTCCAAACCATGCTAGCTTACATACAACAAATCAGACAGGGAAATGAAGCTATTAATGCAGGCTCACTGCCAGCAACAAAAAATGTCTACCTTTCTCTTTTTTACCAGTAGCCAAGAACCAAAAACAGCCAGTAGGATTTCAACACTGCATCATACAGCTTTACTATATACATTAAAAGAAATGTGAGAACATCATTCAATACTGATTTTTTAATTAATAAACTTCAAATTTATTAGTATTCTATTTTAGAAAGCTTTCACTTAAGTTTTAGCACTGAAAACTGTCAACTCAAAAGGATTCTGAATATCAGGTTTTAAAATATTAGTAGCTAGGTATTTTCGCAAAACTGCTTAATACCACACTGAAATGTATTTATGAACAATTGAAAATTGAATTTTTCTTAAAATATTTTCAATGGAGAAATGTCTGTTTAGATCTTTGGCCCATTTTTTGATTGGGTCATTTATTTTTCTGGAGTTGAGCTGGAGGAGTTGCTTGCATATTTTTGAAATTAATCCTTTGTCTGTTGCTTCATTGGCTATTATTTTCTCCCAATCTGAGGGCTGTCTTTTCACCTTGCTTACAGTTTCCTTTGTTGTGCAAAAGCTTTTAAGTTTCA